GCAAAGCAAAGTATCCAACAACAGCTAAGGGGGTCTGCCATTTTACAATACCAGAAACTCAAATAAAACCGGAATTTGGAGAATGCTTTTGTGCTGTAATGGAGGTGAAATAGCATATATGTTATATATGATCCTATAGTTAGTGCCAAATAATATGTAGTTTTATTTGAAACTTATGAGATTACGTAAATAATATGTAGTTTTATTTGAAATCTATGAGATTACGTAGATCGTGTCTTTGAAAAAAAAAAAAAAGTCAGGTATACTAAAAAAATCATTTTATAATTATAAAGGTTACCTTTGACATCATGTTAATGTGAAGCTTCGTGCAAACTGCAATAGGTTTAATGTCTTATGTTTTCAATTAATTTTCCTTTTTTACATGTTAATCCATTCAGTTCATGTGTGTGGAAAGAATTCCGAAGCTCTAACAATTATTCGAGTACTTAATCTCACCTTTTTTTTTACGGTGACTTGCACGGACATGAATTTTTATTTACAAATTATAAGAAAATAAGAAAACTTCAATGTCAAGTTTCCTTCTTCCTAAAAAACATGTTAAAATTTCCTTCAAAATATTCTGAAATTTAGTTAGTTAGACAAAAAAAAATTGCATAATTTCTTAGATTTGTTCTAGAGATGACAGAAATTCTTACGGATATGAGATTCCCTAAGAACTCATCCCAAACGGGGAATGGAGGATAATAATTGAGTATATAGAGACGAGAATAGGGACAAAATCTTGTCCCTTAAATCATGGCAGAGCGGGGATGAGAAAAGCACTTCCCATCCCGCATCCACCCTAATATACATACGTATTCTATTTATATATACATGATATTAACTTTTAGATAATTAATTTAGGTTACTAAAAAAGAAAAGGTAACCGCTAATCACAGTAACTTTAACTAAAAATTATAATTACTAACTAGTAATATAATATTTGGTGTATGTTTAAAATTTGGTTTGTCTAACGAAATCTTTGATTTTGGTCTAAATGTAATGATCAGTTTAAAAGGAGGTTTTTGTAATCTAAATATCATGTATTTTAACATATTATTAAAAAAAAAACACCTCGTTGTTAGTATTAAAAATAGTACCTTTGAGTTTTTTTTTTTTTTTTTTTTTTTTTTTTTTTTTTTTTTTTTTTTAATTTTAAAAAGGGGTTTTTATTGTTATAATCTGTATTTTAAAGTTATTAAAAAAAAAAACAAAACTTATATTTTAGACTATGTTAAATTTCTGCATTCACATTTCAATTTCATGTTAAATTCTTACTCCTTTAGGTGAAAGGTTGATTTTGCCTTTTGGTATAAAACCTCGAGAATAAAACCCAAAGATGATCAAATTGTTTTAAACTTTTTGTTCTTTCTTACCATCATCATCCCTGATTCAACTAGAATGGCTCCGAGGCATAAAAATGAGATTCTTTTGAGGATGAGAAATTGGAAATGGAAGTATCAGAATAAGAGGGAAAAAGCAGGGCTTCTAATGTTTACAACCATTTGTTTCCAAGAAAGTGATATATTTACAGGGAAAAGCTACGTACCATGAATAAGATAATAACTAATCGAACCATCCTCAGGTTGTAACTCACCTTGGGTTGCGTATCACAAACGCCACCCACACAATGGAGGTCGCAGTGGCCGCGGTCGCTCCACCTCCTGGGTTGCAAACCCCCTCCCTTCCGCCTGGCGCCAGCCGTCAGAGCTTTCTTTGAATTTTTTCGAGTATTCTTTTCAATATCGTTTGTAATTATTAATTTAAAAAAATAATAAGATTTTGATCAAATGTGTTTGTAAGCATTTTGTTTTGTTGGAACGCGAGTTTAGACTATTATCTTTAATCCAACGGTTTAAATAATGTTCCTCATCAACGATTGAAAAAAAAAAAAAAAAAAAAAAAAAAAAAAAAAAAAAAAGGTCTTCCTCATGGTATATGTTACCTTCTTTAAAAGGTAAAAGCTTGAGAACTTTTCTATTAAAAAAAAAAAGCAAAAAGGATTGTCTCTAGTAGTCAAGGATTTTTTGTCCTATAAGTAGGAATTGCTTTTTAATCCTTTGATTAATTTTTTAAAAGTCAGATTTGTAAGTGAAAAAAATTTTACATTGTGAGTCTCAAATTTTTAGCGTAAACACTTGTAGATCTAATCATTAAAAATTTAATCAATGATTAATACAAAATTATCTACTAGTAGAGTAAAAATGCCTTCCCTGCTATAAAAATGATAAAAAAAATATATATATACAAACGTAAAAACTTTTCTGGATTGAAGTGTGGACTGCTATTCCAAACCAGGACAAGATTAGAAAATTGTGTGGGAGATGCACCCTTGATGGTATGCAGGTGCAGGGGGTCTTTTATAGGACTTATTGGGATTCTATTGGCCCTCAACTAGTTAAGTTTGTAAAAAAAAATTTCGTAATAGCAAAATGCTTCGAACCTTAAATCATACATATATGTCCTCATTCCTCTGTGTAAAGAGTAAAATCAAAAGCCGAGTCTCACATCATTTAAACACAAGAATAAACACTAACTTATAAAAACAGTGTTACTCTACTTAATAAGTTGACTTTAAATGAACTCCGTTGCTAAGAGTCCGGAAGCCTCTGAGTTTGAGAAGTTTCGACTTATTAGTCTATGCAACTTTGCTTACAAGGTAATATCTACGATTTTCACGTCTCAACTTCGGAAGGTGCTGGATAGATTCATTTCTCCCTTCCAATCTCCATTTGTAATTGTTTTGGAAAGGCAGGGCTACTTAAGAACGACATGTCAAGGTGATTAATTACATGATTACTTACCAATCATAATTTGGTAGTGTACTGTTGGGGGTAGGATTACAGGCCAAATAATTAACAGATAAACTTAATTAGCATTGTGTTAGACCACCGGGTACCTGCAATACAGAATCAACACACACACGTATACCTCAACACAACACCACAATTAGATTATTGAAGAAACCTCAACCGAAGGATCCAATTTCATTAATCGTCACTGGAAACCCCAAGCTCTGCTCGGCCAGGAATACATAAACAATAAAGATTAGTTCTCGCTCACGATGCCCTCCTCTCACATAATCCCTTTTCTTAAATCCCTCAGGCCATTATAACCTCCCTACTCCCTAGGCACCAATAGGCACCAATCCCTAGTCTAGCCTAACCACCTATAGGTCACATCAGCAACCTTCCTCATGCACTCACCTCCCTTCCCCAACCGAAAACGTTACGAGCTCCTTTAGAGTATGTCTGTTCGTATTTGTTTTGCCTAGGCTCGGGTGTAACATTACTCCCTTCTTAAAAAAGGACCTTGTCCTCAAGGTCGAAGGTAGGGAAGCGGACTTGCAATTCTTCTAGATCTTCCCAAGTGGCATCCTCGTTGTCTCGCCCCTGCCATTTAACTAGCACCTCCTTCAGGACCTGCCCCCCTTGCCTCTTCAAGCGACCTTGTAGCACGCTTACTGGAAATAGCGGCATGGGCATGTCCGCTGCAGTATCCACAACCACCGGTTCCTCTGAAACCGCACGCCTACCAACCACCTTCTTAAGCATAGACACATGGAAAACAGGGTGGACCTTGGATCCCTCTGGTAGACGAAGTCGGTATGCTACTGGTCCTACCTGGATGATTACTTCAAACGGGCCATGATATTTTGGTGCCAGTTTGTTGTTGGAGCGCCTTGCCACGGTGCCCTGTCGGTAAGGTTGCAGCTTCAACCAAGCGAGTTCCCCAACCTGAAACTCTCGCTCCACCCGTTTTTGATCCCCATAACGCTTCATTCGTTCTTGCACACGCTCCAAGTTGCAGCGTAACTGCTTTAGCTGTTCATCTCGTTCAGCGAGTTGCATATCAACGGATCCAACCGCTATTTTACCCCCTGTATAGTGCATCAAGGTTGGGGGTGGCCGGCCATACAAAGCCTGGAAGGGCGTCATGTGGGCTGCGCCGTGAAAATTGGTGTTGTACCAATATTCTGCCCAACACAACCACCTACTCCAGTGCCTAGGTTGGCCACTGGAGAAACATCTTAAGTACGCCTCCAAACAACGGTTAATGACTTCTGTCTGCCTCGTTTGAGGGTGGTATGCCGAGCTCATATGTAGGGTGGTGTGCTAGTGACAAAACATCTCCCTCCAAAAGAGGCTAGTGATAACTTTATCGCGATCACTCACTATACTTCGAGGCATGCCATGAAGGCAAACCACCTCTTGGCAAAACACCTCTGCCACCAACTTAGCAGTGAACGGCCACTTGAGAGCAATGAAATGTGCGAATTTGGTCAAGCGGTCCACCACTATGAAAATTACCTCATGACCATTGGATTTAGGCAGGGCCTCGATGATATCCATCAAGATGTCCTCCCATACTGCCTCAGGAATGGTTAGTGGCTATAGCAAGCCTGCCGGACTTGTAGACTCCACCTTATTTTGTTTACAAATCCCACACTCAACCACGAACCGTTGCACATCTCTTGCTATCCCCGGCCAATACACGTTAGCGCTAATCCGATTGTACGTCCTTAGTGCCCCCGCGTGTCCCCCCATAGGGGTGGAGTAGAATTCTTCCAGCAACCGCTGCTTGAGCTTAGAACCCGCCGGAATCACTATCCGACCCCGAGGCAGCAACACTCCATTTTCCACTGCGTAATGGCTTCTTGTTTCCTTGCTGCGACTCAACTTCTCCCTGAAGGTGTGAAGGTTGGTGTCAGCGGCTACTTCTTGCTCCACCGTTGCCATATCTAGAAACTCAGGTCTTGAGATAGCCAACAGCTCCCCTCCTTGCGTCCAACCGCCTCGACGAGACAAGGCATCAGCCACTGTATTTTCTCTCCCTACGCGGTAATGGATGTCAAACTCGAACCCCATCAACTTCACCAACCACTTATGTTGTGCCAGAGTACTAATTCGTTGTTCCAAAAGGAAGTGAAGAGATTTCGTTGTTCCATAAGCTCTCTCTCATACACAGACTTGGCCACCGTTCTAGGTGACATCCCTTTGCTAAAGTAAGCCACCGGTCAATAAAACCGCCCCTATCCCTGCCCCTGAAGCATCCGTCTCAACCCCAAATGTTTCAGTGAAATCGGGTAAGGCAAGGACTGGAGTCTGCGTCATCCATTGCTTAAGTTCCTGGAACGCCTGCTGCGCCTCCTCAGACCAAGTGAACTCCCCATTTTTTAGCAAATATGTCAGGGGCCGCGCAATAGTGCCATAATTCTTAACAAAACGGCGGTAGTAGCCTATCAAACCCAGGAAGCCACGTACTCCTTTTACTGTGGTTGGAATTGGCCACTCAACCATATCTCGTATCTTTCCCGGATCTGTCGCCACGCCCTCTTGTGAAATGCGGTGTCCCAAATATTCCACAGAGTCCCGGAAAAACAAACACTTCTTCAGATTGAGCACAAACCTCCCCTCCTTCAGTAACCTCAACACACAAACATATACCTCAACACAATACCACAGTTAGATTATTGAAGGAACCTCAACCGAAGGATCCAATTTCATTAATCGTCACTGGAAACCACGAGCTTTGCTCGGCCAGGAATACAAACAATAAAGATTAGTTCTCGCTCACGATGCCCTCCTCTCACATAATCCCTTTCCTTAAATCCCTCAGGCCGTTGTAACCTCCCTACTCCCTAGGCACCAATAGGCACCAATCCCTAGTCTAGCCTAACCACCTATAGGCCACATCAGCAACCTTCCTCACGCACTCACCTCCTTTCTCCAACCGAAAATGTTACGAGCTCCTCTAGAGAATGGACTGTCCATTCGTATCTGTTTTGCCTAGGCTCGGGTGTAACACATTGCTAGAGCTAATAGATATGAAAGCTCCACTTATTATTGAGAGGAAAAAACAGGATATGTCAGTTCCGTAGAGATGAGTAACTTGTCGTAGTTGTCACGTGAAGTGAAAGAGACTATCGAAATATGAGGTTGATGATAAAAGGCATTATTGCAACTTCTTTTAGTGGCATTATTGCAACTTACACGTTTTTCATGAAGATTCTGTGGGCTATGGCATTGAAGGGTAGATGCATTGTAGGCAATAATAAAAGGCATTATTGCAACTTCTTTTAGTGGCATTATTGCAACTTACACGTTTTTCATGAAGATTCTGTGGGCTATGGCATTGAAGGGTAGATGCATTGTAGGCAATAATAAAAGGCATTATTGCAACTTCTTTTAGTGGCATTATTGCAACTTACACGTTTTTCATGAAGATTCTGTGGGCTATGGCATTGAAGGGTAGATGCATTGTAGGCAAGTCAAATATACACCAATTTGTGTAATTTTTTGTTTTCGACAAAAAACCAACATCATCTCTAGAATATATTCCAACACCTCAAGACACAAAATTTAGCCTTGCACTTTCTCTACCGGTTTCTAATGGACACTTTTCTCCCATTCCTCGTAACTATAATCTCTACCATCCTTTCTATGCTGACATGTTTCATCTACTATCACCTAAAGAGATCAACTGCTTCTAAGAATTCAATACGATGCACCGTCCCACAGGCTGGCGGTGCTTGGCCAGTTATTGGCCACCTCCACCTCTTTGCTAGCCAACAACTACTTCACAAAGCATTAGGAGCGATGGCTGAGAAGTATGGACCGGTTTTCACTGTAAAGTTTGGCTTGGAGAGGGTTTTGGTTGTGAGTAGCTGGGAAATGGCTGCAGAGTGTTTTACTGTCCATGACAAGGCCTTCTCCGACAGACCAAATACTGCTACCTTAAAGTTGCTTGGCTATAACTACGCCATGTTCGCCTTCACTCCTTATGGACCTTATTGGCGACAAGTGCGCAAGATAGCTGTAGCTGAGCTTCTGTCAAACCACAGGCTTGAGACGCTGAAGCGCGTGCGAGCATCCGAGGTGGAAACTATGATAAAGGAACTGCATCAGCTTTGCAGGGTGAAAGGAGGAGTTTTGGTAGATATGAAGGAAAGGTTTAGTGATTTGATGCTGAATATATCTTTGAGAATGGTGGCGGGGAATGGCGATGTGATGAGAGGAAAAGCTAGGAAGCATCGGAAATCTTTGAGGGATTTCTTTTATCTCTTTGGGGTGCCTATGTTATCAGATTCTATACCGTTTCTTGGATGGTTAGATTATGTTATTGGATATGGGAAAGCAATGAAGAAAACCGCAAAAGAATTAGACCGATTGATGGAAGATTGGCTGGAGGAGCATAAGCAGAAGAGACTGCTGCTGGGTGGGAAGAATAAAGAAGAGCTAGATTTCATGGATGTGATGCTTAACATCTTAGATGATGCTGGCATTGGTGATTTTGATGCAGATACCATTATCAAGGCTACTTGTTTGGTAAGAAATCTGGCTGCTCATGTAAACATTCAACAATACTTAAAAATCTCAGTACTTAATTCGTGTCAACATAAACTCTCTTATAACATCATAAACCATACATATGGGTCGTAAGTAATTCAGTTTAACATCCTAGTACTCATATCATTCATCACTAAAATCATAGAATACAACAAAGAGATTAAAAAGCCGCACATTGCATAACTTATACAACCTGTCAACATGAGCCTCTTCGACTAAAACATTCACCATGATTAGTACAAAATTCATATCAACCTAAAATCAACGCCATAGGAAAGTACCAGAAACAATATTATATGAAACCCCTTTGTACTTTATTATTATTTTTTTTTTTTGTGAAATTTCTTTCTAATGGTGCCAAATTTAGCTAAATCACAATTACAAATCAATACATCGAATCAGGATTTTCCCAACTCTGCTCCCTAGCGTCATGGCGCCCGCTACCTAGTGTTGCGGCGCGCACCTCTCTGCCAATTTGCTATAAATTCTTTTCTTTCTCTGATAAATTTTGGCCAAGGTGGATTGTCTACGTTGCAATCATGTGGAATAAGCAATAAACAAATAAATTGCCGAAAATAAAACTTCCTTATCTGAAACATAAAATTTATACCATAAATTCCATAATATAAATCAACTTAAAAATTCTTAGATCTCATAACATGAATAATGGCATAAACCTTCACATTTTCGCCGAGATCCCGTCGTCATCCCCCGAAACATACTCAACATACATGTTAATATCATAATTAGTATTCATGAATTTAAATTCTGTGTGACACGTTATCATTAATTAATCTTAGCTTGAATTGTGATATTACAGCTCATCTACTGTGAGTATCATCTTTGTTGGGCCATATATTTAGTTTGTCAAGCTTGTTTCTCTTTTTTTTTTCTCTTTTTTCTTTTCCTTTTCTTGTTAAGTGTGTGAAGCCAAGTGAGTATCAGCTTTGTTGGGCCATTTCTTTAGTTTGTCAAGCTTGTTTCTCTGAGCCGAATTATTATCCTGACGCAGAGTTTGCACACGGATCAACCTTGTCTGTGGACCTGGTTTATTGTCTTCCTTTATTTTTAGTTTTGGTTGCTTTCCTTAGTAAAGGATTACGACATTTAATTCTTAACAGTTTTGCTACAACTTCTTTTTAGCTAAGCAGTTTTTCCAATTTATGGCTTGAAAGCCTAAAACTCTGAGAAACGACAAAAAGAAAAGAAAGAGAAAAAAAAAACTATAGTGGACCAAACAATAAAAAGAGGGACCCAGAACGCTAAAAGTCCACACTAATTTGTTGGATTTTTTTTTTTTTTGGTTTTGCTGTAGGCTCTTACATTAGCAGGAACTGAGTCAACCATGGTAAGCATAACATGGGCTCTGTCTCTGCTTCTCAACAACATCCACAAGCTAGAGAAAGCACAAGAAGAGTTAGACAACGTTGTAGGCCGGGACAGACAAGTAGATGAATCAGATGTCCCAAAATTACTCTACCTCCAAGCTATTGTGAAGGAAACTCTGCGCATGTACCCGCCTTCTCCACTACTTATTTTTCGAGCCGCTAGGGAAGACTGTGCTCTCTCATCTGGCTACAAAGTCCCTGTCGGCACACGCCTAATAGTGAATGCTTCGAAGATTCACCGCGATGAGCGTGTGTGGCCAAATCCCGATGAGTTCCAGCCAGAGAGATTCTTGACAAGTCACAAGGGCATAGACGTGAAGGGCCAAAACTTTGAGCTCATTCCTTTTGGCTCGGGAAGGAGATCGTGTCCCGGGATTTGGCTCGCGCTCAATGTGGTGCACTTGACACTGGCTAGCTTGTTGCATAATTTTGAAGTTACCAAGCCATCAAATGAAGATGTGGATATGACTGAGAGTCCTGGATTAAACAATTTGAAAGCAACCCCACTTGAAGTTTTCCTTACCCCACGTCTTCATTAGAAGATTTATGACAAGTAAATTAGTGCTGTTGAATAAGATTATTCGTTTAATGGAGCTATATATGCTCTTTGTGTCTAATATCAGTGAAGCTATGTGGAGCTATAGTTTGCATGATATTTTAGTCTAAGTTTTGCTCATGTTAAGCTTTTAGTTGTTTATCAAAGGCACGTGTGAGAAACATTGTGCAAGTGACTATTATTCTTGTATTCAAGCAAACAAATGAAAGCAAATAAAGGAAAACGTAAAAGAAAAAAGAAATTACCTCTGATTATGAAATATTATGTGTTCATTAGCAATAATTTAATACAATGACTTGAGTGTAAGACTAAGCTTTATCTTTGCCAAAGAAAATGAGCAGGGGAAGTTAGTTGTACGAAAGCCAAAGATTTTTTTTCCAATTCCAAATAATTCAAACCATTAATTAATATTTCAAAGTAAATATCATTTCGATATTTATTTAGCTTTATCATTTCACTACAGTCTATAAAACCAAAAACACCTGGCCTAGAACTGCTGTATGCTTAACTTCATTTTAAGCATAGTAGGATAATGAAAAAATCGATCTCAATCGTTGAAAATTGAGTTGCTTTTTGTCAGGTAAGACCCAATAAAAAAAATTAACAATTTGAATTTTTTAATCATAATCCAAAGCGTTGCACAATACGATCATATTTTACTGGTCGTATAAGAGGGGGCATCAACACATCTAGCTACCCTTAAACTAGAGCAGGTAAATTTGGCCTATAAAAATGATTAAGGTCTCATTATCACCATAGACAAACTCTATGCGGAGAATTTAAAAATACTATCGATATGTCCATAATTTGGAGTTATAAGGCGCGGGTTTGAAAAGTTAGTTTGCACTTATCTGTAAAGAAAATCAGCTCTTCACGTATTTAGATACTCATTCCTCACATATTTAAACAGAAAGATCTGCCTTGTCATCACTTCCTCTACCAGCATCAATGGACCCTCTTCTCCAAATTCTATCGACTATCATTTGTTGTCTCCTTCCTCTGCTCATCTCTTTCATTTACCGTCTCCAAAGGAGAGCATCCACTACTTCTACTAGAACAAATTGCCCCGTTCCGCAAGTGTGCGGTGCTTGGCCAGTTATTGGCCATCTCCACCTCCTTGGTGGCCACCAACTTCTACACAAAACATTGGGAGCCATGGCTGACAAGCATGGACCTGTTTTCACTATAAAACTCGGTTCACACAAAGTTTTGGTTGTGAACAGTTGGGAAACGGCCAGAGAGTGTTTCACTGTCCATGACAAGACTTTCTCGACAAGACCAAACATTGCAGCCTCTAAGCTGCTAGGCTATGACTACGCCATGTTTGGCTTCGCTCCTTATGGACCGTATTGGTGCTAGATGCGCAAAATAGAGACAATCGAGCTTCTTTCAAACCATAGGCTTGACATGCTCAAGCACATACGCGCGTCGGAGGTGGAAACTACCATGGGGGAGTTACATGAGTTGTGTGCGAAAAAGGGTAGTGAAGGGAATGGAGTTTTGGTGGATATGAAGAAGTGGTTTGGTGACTTGAGTCTGAACATGCATGAAGAAAAAGGAAGATTTGATTGTACGTCAGGATTATTACTTTGCAAAGTAGACACTCTTTTCCCTTGTTAGGTTTGTCCTATTGAGTTTACTGACAAGATTTTTAATGATATCTATCATAGATTTTGTCTATCAAATGCGCAATCTAAGTTATGTCTTATGGCGCTAGTCTCTACTTTGCATTGTCTTCTATTTTTCTTTTTAGTTTAGTAGTTCTTTGCTTTTGGGATTGTTTTTGATGGGTCATTACACCAAACACTTGTAATTCGTTAGATTTGCTTAGTGCCCTTATTCTACTTTATTAAAAATATATATGTGTTGGGGGTGGGTAGATGATGAGAGTGCTGCATTGCGATTTCCTAGTGCATCTATTGATTCCCATCTCTCAACAATTTTATTTGTATAAGAATATAAGATTTGTCAATATGCTGATGATATGAACTAAGCATATTATAGATGTAATATTGATATTCATGTAAAGTAATTTTTCTAAAATCTTTTAATGATATTCATATTTAATGTATATGAAATCTTCTTCCACTGCAAATGCAAAAGCTTGATATACAATGGCTTTAAATTTTTTCGATTACTTAATATTCTAAATCTTTTGATTAGCAATTCCTCAACTCAGTAAAGGTGGAGAAAAACAATATAACAATCCAGTCCCAGCTTGGAGGAATATCAATTTTCAAAGCAAAAGCTAATTACTTCAGGACGTGTTTTGAGAATGATTTTAGTAAGCTCAATACCTTTAGGCTATGCACATTCGTTTTAATTTGTTTTCTTTCCAAGTTGTTGTCGTTAAGGTAACACTATTATTACATGGACAGCAGTTGAATTGAAAAATAAGATTACTGAAAGACCAAAAGGAACTTGCAGATGAAATATTATGAATCAGGAAGGGTACTCATGCTGCTACTCTTACAAGTGTTCTATGATTCTCCAAGATTCTCTGCATCCGTCTGGAACAAACATTGGTCGTCATTTGGGAAGCTGATCAAGCCTGGTCATGGACTCGAAAGTAGTAGTCATCATAGCCATCAACCTTCATGGCTACTCAGCATTCTGCAACAGAGGAGCTGTCAAGATTGATAGCCATGGTGACTACGATTTTGGAATTCATGTTGTTCTAGTTTCTAGCTAGTTTGGGATTTCTAGAAGAGATCATAAGGGATTCTTGGAGCTACTATGTACTATAACTTGGGTGTGGCCATAAGATGCCAGCACTAAAATACCTAACAAACAACATTAAGTTTTAAGAAATATCTGCACAAACTCTGAATTAAAATTAGCAAAAACAACCATGAAGCTCTAAACGAGGTAATAGGACAAATAATGTGCTTATTTCTGATGTCGAAAGATTGAAACAAAAGACAACGAGGAATTCAAGTGAGCGTTACATTTGATAAATGCAAAAAATTGGATACTTGCATATGATCACATGTCAGAACAAACATGTCGAAATTTGTTAAACATATTATTCCTCTAGATAGAACCACTGATTAACCTCTGAAAAATATAACTTTCAGCACAAAATCATTCCTCTGAAGCATCTAAAAGACACAAACATCTCTGAGCTTTATAGCATTTGCATTCACAAATTTGCTCCAACCGGTAGATAACCTCGCCGTTGGCCTTTCATCGACACAAAACTTCACAGGCCATGACCTCCCTTTATGCTGAAGCATGACAGTGCTTCCTCTTTCCAGCTTATTCATATACATCTTGAAAAAGCTCGTTGGTATGCCCTGCGAAAAAGTAGATCCCCTAATCTGTCACAGAAAATCGACCTACGTCTATTGCTATTAATTGCTCAACACAATTTGAATGAATTATAAAGATTACCAAAAATCCTTTCATCACATAAGCCTTTGACATTACACATTTGAAGAAAGGATACTCCGGAATATACTTGTTGGCTCCTTGAATAGCTCTCACTTCACTTGCGCATACTTTTCCTTTCGAACACGTGTCAATCTAATAGCGGGAATCCTACCTGCAAAAGGATCAACCAAAGAGTTGTAATTGCAATTTTCCAAGACATGGTAACCTTTGTTTGCTTATAATTAAGTAGAAACTTACTAGAATACCTAGTTTGAGAATGCCCTTGATTATAAACTTCATCTTCTTTAGATTGTTCCCCTTCTGAGCTCTTATTCTGGTTTTCCCTATGATAATTGTGGAACATAATTCTTTTCCTAGAAGCCGTCACAGCAGTAGTACTCTTTTGGCAGCAAGTTCTACCATAAATTTCAACATGAAATTACGAACTCTCAACATAGTGAAACACAAGAAAATCTCCAAGCACCAAACCATTTTCTTGCGCAAATTCCTTCCAACCCTCCTCGTAAAATACCGTGTTACCGAAATTTTCCACATTAACATTCCAAAATCTTTCAGCGGGGCTCCAAAGAAGGCACCTCCTAGGTATTTTTCCATCAAAATGCTTGACAAAAGCTACTGGGATCATCTGAAAATACATTGAAGATTGGATATGTGGCGCACTAGTTGACCCAAAAAAGAAAAAAAAAATCCCAAAAACGAGAGAAAAATTTTCCAAAGACTACAGTCTATATTGGCCCTATATGATGTGCTAAAATAATATACAAAAGTCTATTGAAAGAATCAAACATACCAACTTGTTTGAGAAGTCATCAATAAGAACCTTGAAAATTGAAGGATATCTTTTGAGAGGCCTTGGTTTTCTTCCCATCTCGATTTGTCGGCGAACAAACTGAAATATTTTATATTTGGCAGAAAGAAAAAAAATATTATATATTTATTCATAACGATCCCTAGGATCCTGAGGATCTCTTCTTCCTTAACAACCGGAGTGTTAGCCATTGAACCATTGTTCTTGGAAAAAATAAACGGCTCTATTTTAGACGTTTCTTTGCGATATTTATCCTTACTGCCAAACTGGCATTAGTCAAAATGTTCTGAAAAAAAAGAAAAAAGAAAAAAGGTTTCCATTTTGGGGACGGTTAAATGAGTTAATTAAAGATTTGGAAGGCCGAAAACCAGGATTTTAGGAAGGGAATAGAAGTGATGCAAAATGTAGATCATTAAATTTTAATTTAAATTTAAATTTAAATTTGAATAGTTTATATTAGGATGTATTGTATCTTTAATATTTAATTTAAGTTAGTATTATGTTTATGTTATAGGATTATTTAGAATATTTAAATTACTTATTTTCTTTGAAAGGGAATATTTAAATTATATATTTGGGTTTATCTAATTAGTTTTAGATTTCTAAAAATATTTTAGTGAATGTCACTTCAATTCACAGAGTTGATTAGTAAACGAATATTGAGTTTTTGCTTCCTCCTCTTGAGTTGTTCTATTTCTATCTCCTCTCATTCTATTAAAGTTGACATTTTAGTTGTAGTGATAATTATTATTAAGTAATTGACCTAAAATATAATAGGTAGGATAATTAGAAAGAGTTTGACACGATGAATCATATAATTTCTCTAAAAATGTCAATTACTTATCAGATTTGCGTACCACGTAAAAAGGATAATTCGCACAACTAATGGTGGAACTTCGGGCGGCGGGCTTATCCTAAGCCTGAAAATTTTTGAGTTCGGCGGGCAGACACTTATCGCTACCTATCCACCTAAATATCTTGGGCTCGGGCTCGGACAGCCCGAGGAAAAAACATTCCCTGCTGCCCGCTGCCGGTGGGGGGACCGTGACCGCCGGCTACCGTTTTTTTTTTTTAATTTTCCACCGTAACCCGAAGCCCGAATTTATGCCCGAATACCGAAAAATTGCTAGTTTTTTTAATTTTATGCCCGACCCGATCCAAATAATTTTTGGACCGTTAGCTCGATTTTTGAATGCAATGGCTATATTTGCCCGACCCGACCCGCCGCCCATTTTGTATGTCTCCAACGGCTCTATTTTTACTGTTGTCCGAGTTGCCCGAACTCGACCCAACCTGCCCCAAATTTTGTTACCGTTGGAGTTGAAATTTTGAGGGGAAAAATTTTTTTTTCAAGCCAAAAAATTCCATATAAATACCCCTCCTCCCCCAACCATTTTCCTCACCCAAAAAATTTCATCATCTCTTAATTTCTCTCTATCTCTCTCAAATATCTCTTAATCTCTCTCAAATCTTTCTTTATCTCGCTCAAATCTCTCTCAATCTCTCTTAATCTTTCTCAAAGCGCTCTTGATCTATCTTATTTTTCATAATGGATTCTTCCGGTTATGGTGGTGATATTCCCGTTGATACCCAATTCAACATTGAAGAAGGGCAATTTCCTCCTACTAATGTTTTTCAAACGTAGGAATCACAAACACTAGAAAGAGCCGCTGAAGAAACTGCAAATTCGAGCCGTGGTGGACGTATCAGAGGTCGTGGACTGGTCGTAATGATAGTGTAAGTGTTGCAAGTTTCAAGAAGAAATGCAAGCGCACCTCAACAGTTTGGGAGCACTTCAACACATTCGAAGAGGTCAACATTAACGATAACATTAAATACATAGTTCAATGTAAATATTGTGGTGATAAATTACAAAGTAACACTATTTACGGCACAACACACTTGAGAAGACACTCTGAAAAATATTTTTAAAAGCAAGGAGGCGGACCCAATCTCCGTCAAACACAATTATTATTTGATTACCAAACCGGCGGTCTAACCACTTAGAAATACGATCCGCAAGTCAATCGTATGAAAATGACACGATTAGTAACCACATTAGATCAACCACTTAATTTTCCCAAACAAAGGAATTGACAGCGTTATATTAAAATTGTACATAATCCTAATGCACAATTTTTTTTCAAGAACACTCTTA